TTGCGGTCCTCCAGCTTGCGGATGATGGCGCTTAGCTCGGCGATTTTCAGCTGGAAGCGCCGGGCGTCCTTCTCGTCCAGCTGCTGTTCCTGGAACAACAATGAACTGCAGAGACGGCCAGGCCCGCCGCCACCCGGGGCCCCTTCCCCGCCACACCAGGCCCAGGGGCCCCAGGGGGCCAAGGCCGCGCAGAGAGGGGAGGGCGGGCGTGTGGGGCGAGGGTGCCGCGAGGCAGGGGCACCCAGAGAGCCCGGCAGCCAGCTCTGCCAGCCCCACGTGCCCGCAGCAGAGGACAGGCACGGGAGGGCCTCGCCCAGGCCCCAGGCAGCTCTGCGCTCGCACCGCGCCCAGAAACAAGGCCGCCTCTCCGCACCCAGGGTCGACCCCGGAGGTGGACTCCCCCGCAGGAGACGGCACTGCATGGGGTACAGGTCCCCACTCCCGACGTCAGGCCTGGCCGCACGACCTCACACTCGGGCAGACAGACGTGCGTCCACGAACTGGACACAGCTCTCGTCTCTCAGTAACAGGTGCAGGAGAAGCCCGGGACCAAGAACCAAACCACCCGTGGGCGCATTCATTTAAATCCCGCCCCGCCCCCTAGTCCAGAACCGCTGCTGTGGGCGCCCCACCCCCAGTAAGGACCAGCGGTGAAATAAAGTCACAGCGCATGCGCGGGGCGGCCCCCCACCCGCTCCCTCATTCCCACTGTGCTCCCAGCAGGGTGGGGGGCGGGGGCAGGGAAGCGTGCAGAAGAAAGGCGGGGTCACAGGACCGCTGGTGGGAGCCCCTGAGCCCCGCGCAAGACGGACGGACACCAGCCAGCCGAGCCTTCGGCACGCGGACAGAGATGCTGGCTGAGCCCACCTCCTGTCTCGCGCGCCGCACGAGGCCCGGGGTACACGCGACGCCGGGTCTCGGGGTCCCAAGGAGGCCTGGGTAGTGCTATGCTAACGGCCAGGAAGGGGACGGGCTCTAGTAGCCGGCGTCCAGGCCGCAGCAGCCCGCACAGCGCGGCGGGCGGTGCTTACAGGGCTTCCCGGGTGGTCTGAGGCGTCTCCCGCACCGCTCACATAAGGAAGGTCCCGTCTGGGGCTGCCCAGGTGCCGGTCGGCCTCGCGGGCCTGGGACAGCTGCTCATCTAGGGCCTCTTTCTGCCGCTGCAGTCTCTGAGCGTGCCCGGCTTGCACCCCTAACTCTCTCTCCAGCACGAAGACTGCTCTGTCCTTAAACTTTATCTCCTCCATCTACAAGGAGAACAGAGGACAGTCACCCCGAGGTACAGCCCTGCCGCAGCAGAACAGGTCCCCACGCAGCCCTACCACAGGGGCTCCTGAGACCTGAAAGACCCCGAATTAGAGGGACAGGACCTCGACCCCTGCCTCACAGACCCATTCCTCCTGTGTGGGTCTGTGGATACCTACTGCCTCAGGTGGGCTTGTCCGTGTCACTGAGATGCTACAGTGGCCAGCAGCAACCCAGGGTGGACAACGGCCCAGGGGGGCAGAATCACAATATTCACTGCTGCACCCCTCCCTCCACACCCTACCTTCCTCTGCACCCCACCTTCCTCGCACACCCTCCTTTCTCTGCACAGCTGCCCCTCACCTGACTGTGCCTCCTCACCTGACTGGACCCGGTCACCATATGGCACCCCTCATTCTTCTACACCCCTCTTACATGGCTCCCCTCATCTGGCCACCCTCCAGCTCCCCTGCCCAGAAGTGGGAGGGGGCTCTCTGCACTGAGAAGCAGCACTTGCGATGAAGACCTGTGTGAGCCCCAGCTCTGGGTGGAGAGTACCTTGATAAAAGCAGGAGGAGGCGGTGGAACTGGGACCCACCCTCGGGTCCCCAGGCCTCCCACCTGCCTAAAGCTTTATGCCCTCAGCTCCCACCAGCTGCATAAAGTCCCTGCAGGTGTGTGGCCCCTGTGCCAGCCTGGCTCCCAGAAAGACTGCTGCTCTGAGGGATGGCAGGTCAAGCCGACTATTCTTCCAAGAGAAGACCCCGACCTTCCCAGAGAAGACCCCGATCCTCAGGCTTACAGCCTGGTTCACAAGGAGAAGATGGGCCTCCCAGGAGGAGTCATTCCATTTGGGAACAATACTTTCAAATGGACCGAAGGCTTTGCTGTGCTTCTTCATCAGCTCTAGCTAACGTAAGCGAGCAGTGTCTGGAGTGAGCTGGAAACAAAGAGATGGTGAGTCTAATGAGCTCCGACCAAGGATGCGTGGGCAAGCAACTAGCTGAGTAGACTAAACGAAGCCTCTCATTGCTAACCCCTTTCCTGGAGCGCACAGAAATGCTGAGTGGAGCAGGCAGTGATGTGGGGACAGGGGTGCTCTGGAGACACCACGTTCAGCACTCTAGCATGTCACGTGTGCACACTGGATAGATCTCATCCCATCGGAAACCAGAGAGCCAAGGAAGCCAATCCAGAGGGCAGGCGGGCAGTATGGACCACACAGGACTGCAGAGCTCCTGCAGGACCCAGCAGGACGGGACGGGGGTGGGGGGTGGGGCTATCACGGATACAGTGTTGGATGGTGTACAGGATGGCAGACTCGTTGTCTGAGACAGCATCTCAGCAGGAGACCACCCCCAACCAGGCCTCACAGCATCTCTACTACAGGGAGTCCTCCCCAAGGCAGGGGGTTCTCACAGCATCTCCACTGCAGGGAGTCCTCCCCAAGGCAGGGGGTTCTCACAGCATCTCCACTGCAG